ATCGAAACATGTAGAAAAACATCAGCACACTAGATATACACACATATAAATCATTAAAAAATCAAATCCATGCATGTGTTTAATTGCAATTCTGTGTATATAAAAATAGATGGTTTCATTAAACGATAATTATACATATATATATATATTATACATGCATACATATCCACATATTACACACTAATTTCAGCCTGAAAGTTTAGACTGTGGATTCGATCGTTAACGTAGAGTGTTTGATTTTCGCAGCGTCTTCCTGCAGTGGTCTCAGACTGGGTTTCCCTCCTTGGGAAACCAACTGTAAATGAGGATTCAAGAAATGGAGATAATATAAATAGATATATATATATAATATAATAGTTACATATAGTTACATTGTATAATACATGGTTTTAATATATGACTTAATTGTAAGAAACTGAACTTTAAACGGAATTTCAGCAACAAAAAAAAGGGAATTGCATGGAATTGCCCGGCAATAGGCAATAAACACAATTTACCTTAGGTGGGTATGTCCCAACCATGAGACAAGATTGGTACAGTACAGTTTAAAGTTGAGATTGACATCTGCCTACCAATACTTCTTGATGTGTCTGCCACATCGCAAACGTTTGGCAAAAAATATGACACAGTGCCGCGCGCAATGAAACATCAGGCATCATACAATGCATATGTATTCATAAACCCACACAGAAGTAACTAGTTACCAAAGTTCTTGTGTCCATTCCTGATCATCTACAAATAAATAAATGAATGAATGAATAAACAAACAAATAAATACATAAATAAATATATATATATACATATCATTACAATTTGTATATATGTATGTACTGTAACATGTACAATATTGCAATTGCCCCATGCCACCTGGCTGAACCCCAGTGCTCTTGGTGCTTGCCTATCCCCTCGGCTCGTGGTCATTTGCGCAGCCGTTGCAGCGATCTGGGAGGTCATTCTCTCGGGCAGTTTGGGTGCAATGAAGTCCGGCACTTCCCCCGCGTTGGTGTTGAAGACGCTGGAGGCTTGGGAAGATCCTCGTCATGAAATTCTGGTGTACCCTGAGGGGCCCTTGATGCCTTGTGCATCTGTCAATATATATATATATATATGTGTGTGTGTATTGTATTATTAATTATATTATATCATATTATATTATATGTTTGTGTGTGTGTGCAGAATAAATCATACATACATGTGTAATATACAGGTGGCTGGTGCAGGAACAAATGGCGGGGACGCATGTTTGTTTCTCTGTGTGTGTACGGGTGTGGGCATGATCGGGACAAATAGCATGAACATCCAGTAATATCAGCGCCAGCCAATCATACATAGATTGCTGCAATCTTACCTGTTTATTAGAGGATCACAACCAACCTCGTTCTTCTCAGACTTGAATACCAGGACATATTAGAAAACATGATTTCATGCAAACTAGGAAATGTCATACAATGTCAACAACGAACACAATAAAAACACACCATTTATATACTAAAAATCGTTCGCTTGCTGCATGAAAACCCAATGAAAATGGTTGTTTTTTGGTAGGTTCGCCATGTTTCATCCCATTCTGGGCATTCTGGGTGACTCTACAGTTGTATACCCCGACCACCGGCTTGGAGTTGAGCCGCCACTCTCAGCAGCATCGCCTGCAGCGTACCGAAAATTGCCCATTTACAGATCTACCTATTAAATATTATTAAGTCATGGTGATTTTCCATAGCTATAGGTTGACTTACAAGCAGGGTAATCTTCGATATCCTGCATTCATCTGCATTCTGTATAGGTTATTTCGATTTATTTCGCACATTTTATTGCTCCATTTACACTGACACGCAAGGCCAGATCCGACGTAAAACCGTAAAACCAAAGTATTAGTAAGTATTGAAATGCCTTTTGAAGGTTTACCGCAATTTGAAAGGTCAAACATATCCTCCGGTCCAAGATAGGCTTCACTAGCGCCTTTGTTCTCCTTTTGCTCCTCCTTCTCAGATGTCTGGGACATGCCGGCAGATGCCGGCAGCACAGCTGGCTACCGAAAGCCTCTGCTTGCGAAAGGGTAATGGGGACAAGCAAAGGATACGTTCTTTTGTCACAGATTCTTCCGGGATGTAAATGGATGTAACTAACAAATTGCTTGGGATCATGGTGATAAATTGGATTCATTTAATTTAAACGAACATCTTCAGGAAACAATGGTGTTTCTCGTGACATCTGGCAGTTTCCTGCAAGATTTCCCTTAAACCAAGCCAATGAATGTGAAACTGGACCGGCCCAGAGTGGCACAAAAGCATCTGTTTGGGGTCAGAGGGGCTTGAAGTATGTGTCTACTGTAGATATGTCTTACAAAAACTATGAAGATACATCCATACAAATACATATTATCTGTATGTTCGTCAATATATATATATATATACATATGTGCGTATGTGTATGCATGTGTGTGTATGCATGTGTGTATGCATGTGTGTGTGTATGCATGTGTCTGTATGCATGTGTGTAGCAAATGATGTTAAACACAATATGTATCAAAATATATGTGTATATATTGAACAAATATACGTGCATATATATAATTATATAATTATATATATATATATTACAGACAGTAAATGTATGTGTATGTGTATTATATATGTCATCAACATAAGCGAACCAACGGGTAAATAACCAGCAGGCCCGGATGACAGCTGGTCGATGACCCTCCCCCAAATCGCTGAGTTGGTTCATGACTCATATAGCTAGGCTTTAAAGCAAATACCTATAGTATCTATAGTTGATGGGGTTTACAAACCAACGTGTAACTGGGGGTGCCCGCCTTGTATTGCTATGTATTACTGTCAAGATCTATCAGAATCTCTCAAGTATTGTGAATGGGGGTGTGACCATCCCCTGATAAGGGGATGGTTGATTCTGCAGAGGAGGCGCTTGTTTCAGCCAAGCTCAAATGTTGCTGCCATGGCTGGATGGACTTAAATGCATACATTATGCATATGTGTGCTTCGAGTTCTGAAGGGGACAGATTCAGATCTCGACTCTTCGCATTGGCTGCAGTTGCTGTAATTCTCTCTCTCTCTCTCTCTCTTTCTCTATCTTTCTGCACTTTCCCAGAAGCTAGCTCAAAAGTCAAAAGGCTGATCAATTGGTCAAATTGGGATCTTCCTAATCTAGATGAAACAATATGTCTGCATAAATTGGAATAGTTCTCCAACCTGAAAATATGGCTTGTTTGAGCTAGTTAGCATGACCCTACTAACCATCATTCCAGTGACATGGGAGTGAGGTGTGTCTAACTTATCCAGATATATTGGTTTTCAATCATCCCAAAGATTCAGAGCACTGCAGACTGGGCCTCTGGTGAGGTGTTCTTGCAACTCATGTGAAACCTGAGCCTAATCCTGAGGGTTTGTGTAGTTGCCCAAACTTGACAACGACACACATGAATCTATGTCCATGGCCAAAGAGCAGGCCCAAACTCCAAAACACAATGCATTTGAATCGGAAGTGTAACTGTGCAGGAAACAAGCAATGTCAGGACGTTGAAACCATTAAGTCAACACCCATGGCTGAAACTGAGCTAGCTTTGGCTCTTTCAGGCTGATGCCTTCAAATTCAGCTTATGGAAATAGATGAATTGAGAATTAGATGTATTGCAAATCATTGACACAAAATCTTTTTCTACGAGGCAAACTGCGGATGTTCCAGCCAGCTGATGCGTTTTTTTTCCCCCTATTGGGCAGCTCGCTCAAACAATCGGATTCCAATCAACTGGAATTGATTGGTGTCTTGTAAGGCCTAGGGATCTCAAGGGCAAGCGTGTTTTGACAAAAGGGCGGTTGGGCGCGGAGTGTGTGTATCTTGTCGAGGCACGTCTAGCTTCAATATCACGGTTACAAGGATGTCTTTGGTTTGGGTGTACTTATATATTTATGTTTGCCATGCATATGATTACTGGATGCCATGAGCTTTTGGGCATCTGTTTATGATCGTTTTGATTTAAGGCATCCTCAGCTATCCAGTTGTATTCGGGTGGCCAGTTCAGGTGACTAAGTTGACGAATTATGTGGATATAATTACTGGTTATTACTGGTTGGTGGTTGACCTACCCCTCTGAAAAATATGAGTTCGTCAATGGGAAGGATGACATCCCATATATTATGGAAAATAATCCAAATGTTCCAAACCACCACTCTTTCACTCTTTCGAATGCGCGCAGCATTGTCGAGGAATGCTACCCGTCTTGGGTATCTCAAGAGCAAATGGTTGAAACGTAGGTGGGTGGAAACGAATCTTGCTGGGAGGCATACGGAAGGGAGTCAATCGCCTTGGTTTGACGCTTAAAAGCCGCCCCAGAGCATTGAAACATCCAGCGATCCACCAAATCCAGTCTTTCCTGAGGCCAAGGTAAAGCCAAACATCCCGTGAACATTTGGATGATGTGCGATCTGGGTCTTCCATAAGCAACTTCGGGTGAAACGCCAAGATGCTTCAGCGACTGCTTAAGGACTTTGGCAAACCATCTGGAACGTTGGCGAAAAGCGAAACCTCGGAGCTGGAAAAACGGCAGTTTTGAGCCATCACACCATTTGGTCAAGTGAATGGGACCCGGATGCCCAGTTGAGCACATAAAATCAACATAGAGTTGAAAATGGGAAATCCAACAGAGCGCTGAGTTCTTTGAATCCACCCCTTGCCAAAACCAGCTAAGGATAAGCCGGACCAAACTGTCACCATACCACCGTATTGCAGCCTGAGGAATATCCAAACTTGGTAAATCATGCCAGGTGAAATTGGGGGCTACAAGTTCAATCGGGATGGAAGCAAGGTCAACAAATGCAGGTTCAGCCACACGCACAACTTCCTTACTCACCTCCAGCAAAAAACTTTGTACATTTCGGTTGTACCACCCAACACTGTCAACTGCAAGGGCATGTCGTTGAAAAAGTTGCCAGAAATAAGCCGACCGAGTGAGGTTAGCTCGGACTGCTTGTCGATCAGCCAAATCATTGTCTGAAACACCATTCAGCAAAGACACTTCCCTGGCCTTCGTCTGTCTGATGCGCTGCGACTCTGGTGATTTGGGTGATACCAACACGAGCGGAGAGGCATTGTTGCACTTCATACCACAAATCAGAGTGAGATGCGTTAGGCTTAACGGCGTGGCCAGCAAGGAGCTTCCGCACTCTACGCACCACAGCATCGCAATCCGACCAAAGCATGACAGGCCCCTCATGGGTCACTGCAAGCTGCAAAGCTTTCAACACGGCATAGATTTCAGCCCGAACTGCACTTTGGAGCAACCCAGGAAGAGCTCCCGCGGCAAGGATACGGCTGCCCTCACAGTCATGAACCGCACCAACATCAGCCTGAACAACCGCCCAGCCAGCAAAACGAAGCTTAGCATTATGTTGGCCATGACAACTACCATCAGTGAAAAGATGGAGAACCCCAGAAAAGACCCCCGGGGACAATGGCAAATCAGGCAACTGGGTAAAATACTGGTTCCATTCATGCATCGTAGAGGGCATCAACGACCAGCCTGAACAGGTTAATGCCTCAGGCAGGTCAGCAGCAGCTTGTTGGATTTCAGGCGGCAACTGCTCCCTAAGAAAGGCAAAATGGTCACAAACCCAAAACCTGTGAAATCGACTATCGCTGCATGGGCAGTAGGCACAAAGATCCGTTTCTGCCTCCTGGCAATAGTGCTTGCCGTCCTGGGTGATATGAGTTCCATTCAACAACTTCCGGAACAAAGCTCTGTCAGAAATGCTGAGCTTCGCAAGCCAAGTGCGAGTATCCGCAGGGTCGGTCTCGGCAAGGCCTCCAAAGCACTTACGATGTGCAGTAGCATCGCTCACCACCCATGGCCATTGCTGCTCAACCCTATATTGCAATTCAGCAGTGGAGATAGCAAAAAGGGAAAAAGACCCAAACATGTCCACCAAACAGCCAGAAGGATCAACGCTCCATCCAAGCACCTGAATACGGGTCAAGAGGGTATTGGTGATACTGTTAGATGGCAATGCGATAGTATCACTTACTAAAGCGGCAAGCACTTGCTCAACCCTGCTTCGGTCACCGCAATCACGCACCAGCCGCAAAGTTTGCATAATTGACCAGACTTGCGGATCATGAGTGGGAGATTCTATCAAACCAAGGTGAACCATTGGATTGGCTCCCGAACTGTCCGCTCGAATGCCTTTCATGGCACTTGCACGAAGACTGGTAAATGTAGCATTACTCACGGTTGTGGCGGCTACTGCATGCAAGCATCTTGGCCACGCTGAACATTTCAACGCACGGATCTTTTGCGCATACGCGCAGGCAGAAAGGCGTAGCTTTTGCCAAAGGGCACCGGCACTGGCAACCCGTTGAAGCAAATGGCAATTGGTGTGTTGTTTAGAGAACTGGACATGGGCACCGAGGTTGCGATCAAACGGAACCACAGGCATTCCAAGGTCACGAATGCATTTTCGGCCAACCGAACTCACTGACCACATATGCGTCTTTTTGCTGTCAATGAACAGGTCTAAGGCCTGGGTGAACTTCTCCAAACAAGCATAAACAGGCTGAAGGCGCAACGGATCAGTCACCAACACTTGCCAATCATCAACATAGGACAACGGCTGGCAAAGTGGAAAATAATGAGTCATCCATTTGTGAAACAAGATATCCACAACCATCATCCCCACACAACTCAAGGCGCATCCCTCTGGAAGACCACATGTGCTATAGGCAGGGGCACTAAGACTACCATTGATTTGAAACCGCCGAGGCATGGAGGCAAGCGCCCAAGACCAACCACGGAGAATCTCAAATGGAAAACCTAAGAGGGCGCATGACTCCATGATGACAATGCGAGGCAAGAAATTAAATGCTTTCTGAATGTCAGCAGTGATGCCACTCAAAGCAGTGCCTTGCTCGTATGCCAGCTCTATGGTCCATAACAATTGACTCCAAACCTGCCCTGCATAGCAATGGGGTCTACTACCAAAAAGACCAACAGGCAAAACATCTTCCAACGCACGGATGGCATGCCTTGCATGAATTGTGCCCCAGCACCTGTACAATAACCCAAGTACAGTGATGGGTCGAAAGTCCAGCACCTCCACAGGATGTTCCTTCTTGGGCAAGCATGTGACCCTTCCAGCAATCACTTGCTGGGGCCAACCACCAGTATGTTCAGCGTGCAAGAAAAGGGCCACAAAATTGGACAGTGCTGCGTCAGGCATAGCACGAAGGTCTCTAAGGGTGACACCATCTAAGCCAGCAGAAGTGGCACTATGCTTATGGGCAATACAATCCCGCAGGTTACGGACATCGATCGCAGGCCAACTCATTCGCTTGAAGGGCAAGTTGTCACGGGCAAACTGAAGGATGGTGTGCCAACGTGAATATGGGACTTGCTGATGTCGACCCCACATCTGTTTCCAGGCATCCAGAAATAATTGAAACAATTCCGAATCAGTGCCCTTGGAGTGAAGTTGTGAAACGACCGTTCCCACAGGGACAAGCTCAGGCGATTCAACCCAAATAGCATCTGTGTCGGCATGGATAAGGGGTAGAGGGGCCCCATTTGCACAAACCGGCTGGGTACAGTCAAAACTAACCGACCGATCAAGCACGGCCATCCCTTCTTCCGGCCTGATCTCCATGACTGTTGCAGAAACAGGTTGGATCAAGGCTTCAACCCCTTTGGATTGACCTGCCCGCAAATCATGAAAAATGGCATTTGGGTTCTGTTCTCTACGTTGTCTCGCATACTGCCGAGAAGCCTGTTGCAGATCTTTCTCAAAAGCCCGAAACGCCAGAGTGACAGACTCAAAAATCAACTTGGCCAGGGCAGCGGCAGGTGGAATGACTGGTATTATGTCAGGAGAACCATGCGTCCTAAACAAGCATTCTTTCCACCAATCTGTGAAGCTGGGGAAAAAACCCGGCGCTCTCAAAATGGAACCCCAAAGCTTACAGGCATGTGCTGTGTGTGGCGGATGCACTCCCACATAACGATCATAGGCCTGGAGGCGCCTAATCTGTCGCAACCACTGGGCATGTCGAAAGGTGGCACACACATATTGTGGTTTAACATCCATAGCACGACCCTTCTTGGGGGGGGAAACTTTGCCATCAGTCACTTTTCGTACCTCCATTGTGGCAGCACGGCCTTGGGCCTTGGGGCCAACTTTGAAAGGAAGAGCCTGGCAGGCTCCTTGTTCAATATGTTGCCACAACTGGCGGTAGCGATCTTCACAAGTGCCACTGGTCTGCGACCAGAAATCAGGATTAACATTCCAGGCAAGCGGCCAAGGGAAGTCAACAGGCGAAGACCAGACATGTCGCGGCAACATATGAGAAGGTGAGCGAAACTCCCCCCAGATGACCGCATGGTCAGGGAAAACATCCTGCTGAATCACAACTTTGCGGAGTAAATGTTGCAACTCCCGAGACACAAAGCAAAAGTCCTTTCTGGTGGCATTTTTGCAAGTGTTGGAAACCTGCTGGCCCCAAAAATCCTGTGCAAGATCCTGCAGATCGCGAAATCCGGCAGCTGCCATCAGGTCAAACGCAGGGGTGGAATTCATGAGCATGTTCCAATCACCCGCTAGGTACCGAGGTCCTTTGGCCAGATGGCAGACATGACCAGCAGCATGATGCAACAAAGATTCATTATTTTGCTTTGCCTGTGGGTATGAGCTACTCTCTGGTTCGCCATAGATAGTTCCACCAGTAACCCAGCAATCATGGATCAAGGTAGTGGTGATCACCAGCCGAGAGGAGGTCAAAATGCCCTCAGGAATCTGGGTCGGAACTTCCCGGGTTGGAAACTTGGACATAACACCGACACCACGCCAAGCAGCATGAAACATACGATTGTGTTGGGCAGGAACAGGGTGCCCACCTACGAAATACCGAAAATGGCTCTTGGCAAAATGCAGGCTCGAGCGGAAAGAGGAAAGAGACTGGCTGCACAAATGAGTCTCTGTGATGGCCCAAATATCCCCATGGGCTAAATGTGAAACAATGTAAGGAGCCTTCCCCTTCAGGCCAGAAGGGTTAAATGCGCCTAAAACAAAACTGGATTCCCTGAGCATCGGATATTGATCCTAATCAATAAGCTTTGGGGCTTATTGATTTGTAGGAAAAATCAATATAATTTATTGATTTTGATGTGAGAAAAATCAAATAGAATATTGATTTCAAAATCAATATTTCTGATAGGAAAAAGAAAGAAAAAAATCAATATCAAAATCAATATGAAAATCAATATGAAAATCAATATTTTCAGTGGGCACTAGTGGTCTGCAGCACTTTTTGCACCCGCATTTTGTGATGCCACTGCTGGGCTCAAACCTATATAGCCTTTTGTCAAGGAGCTTTCTTTTGGCAAGAAAGCTTGTCTTTGGACAAAGCCCCTTCCTTTTGTCAAGGCTAGGGGTCTGGCTCCAAATCCACTGGGTCAAAGCCAAGCCTTTCCAGCTGCAATTGCAATAGCACATAATACTTTGCATTGATTTTCTGGCACAGTCTGGTAGTCTTGACACCATGAACCACACTGGCCCCCAAGGTGCTGATTTTGCCAACAAAGTCTTCTGATCGAAAATTCCATGTGCACCTGGGGTTGATGTCACATGAAGACTTGACCAGATGGTCAAATGTGTGGAATTTGACAGTGATGTGGAACAGGTACCTGTCAGCTTCCTCAGCCCACTCACTTAGCCATGCATAGCTGTAGAAAAACTCTTTGGCCAGCTTTCTTGCCCTTGCATATGTCCTTTTGTCAAGGAACATGCCAGCTTCATCAAAAAGTTCGACCAAAGACACCATGCTCTGCAAGGCATGCACCATCTTGGCATGCATTTCATTCGATGTATCAAACATTGCTTTGAGGACTGGCAAGAATGCAGGCATGAAATGTTTGCACTCTGCTGCCTTGCAGTCAAGCTTTGGCCAGGATTGGTGTGGCTTCTGTGGGTCTGTCACCATTGAGAGCCTGAGGTTGGTGAGCCTTGTGGGTGCCTTCTGCTTTTTGTACTCCTGCTGGATTTGAGAGAAGATCAAGGCAAGCCTGTCACTTGGCTTCACAGCTTGCCTCCCCTTCCCATCATTGTAACACAGGAAGTGCAAGATACTGCCACATAAATGTGAGCAGACCCCTCTGCAAAACATCACATGAAGCCCATCATGTCTCACCATTTTGGTGCTCAAGCCTGCTATGGTGAACAAGGCATGGGCACTGCCTTTTGCCAAGGCTTGTGCATGTGTTATGCAAGAAAACTTTTGCTGATCCTCTCTCAGAATATTGAATGCTTTGCCTTTTGGGCATGGTTTCCCTTTTGTCAAGGGCTGCTGGGCATCGCATTCCCAACAACAAAACTGGCTGTTCCAGTGGTTCAGCCCCAAATGGTTGCTGTACATTTCATGGTCCCCTTGAATTGACCATATGACAGCCCTGTGGCCTTGACATGTCAAAGGCTGTCCAGCAAGCTTCTCAAACACAGACCCTTTTGGCAAGGGCTCACCTTCTGGCCCAAAACAAGGGTGGTAGCCTTCTTGCAAGCATTCGAAGCTCCACTTAATGTAGCTCATGATAGGCTTCCAAGTGGATTCAGTGGTGCATGACTTGGGCATTGCACACAGGAGTAGGTGGGAAGAAAGGCTATTGGCAAAGGAAAGGAACCCACCAAAATTCCATACCATGATGGTGTCTCTTGATTGGAACTCTACTCCATCAGCATGTGTAAACAGTGGGATTGTGTATTCTGCATTGACCACATGCCTTTTGACAAGGCCTGTCCTTTTGTCAAGGCAAATAGGGTGGCCTGGCAGCCTTTCATCCTTGACTGCTTCGACATTCTTCCAAAATTGTGCCACATCACTTGCTTTTCCAAACATCTTTTCAAACTGGAGTGGGTAAGATGAGTGGAGATTGGAAAACAAAAGATGTGGCAGAAAAATTGTGGCTATGTCTTTTCCCACTTTGGAAGTCTTGGGGTCCCTGACTGGGACTTCTACTTCATATGGTGGGGATAAAGGGTTCCCTTTACACCAGTTGGCCATGAAGTCTCTGTGGCAATTGCCACCCACTTGGCCCCAATTCCCACATGAAGCCATGTGAGCAAGTTCTTGGCCTTGGGCTCCATCAAGCACAGCTAGATGTGCCAATTCTTGGCACATCTTGGCTGATAGCTGGCCATGGGCCCACAAAGACAAGAGCTTCTCACAGAGACCACTTTTTCTTTTGCTTTGACCTTTTGTCAAGGTGCAAGCTTTCCTCTTTTGCAGCTCTAGGTCATGGCCTCTGAGTCTTTTAGCTTTGGGTCCATCCTCCATGTCTGTTTAGTCAGCACTTTTGTCAAGGCTTGGATCTTTTGACACAATCTTCTTTTGTCAAGATCCCTTACCACTTCAAAGAAGTTCCACTTCCTTTTGTCAAGGTGAGCTACTCAAAATTCCTAGTTAAACACTTTGAGCCAAAAAATAACAACATGAACAGTGCTGCTAGTACCTGTTACCTCATGAAAAGCCTTGGGTTAAAACCATGGAGAAACATTACCTTCACAAACCTTAAGTGCTATGGACCCAGACCCACCCCACAACAATTGTCAAGAACCAAGTCAAAAAACAACATGTCAAAAAAACAAACAACCTGTGGTTAATGCAACCAGCTGCAGCACCATCCCCCCCAATTTTTTTGCTTTGCTCAAAGCAGATCTGCTGCCTTTGCTAGCCCTCTAGGGTGAGGACCCATTAAATACAAAACCCAAGAAATTGCTCAGTCCCTTTTGGCAAGGGTTTTCTGCACTAATTTCTTGAAACTTCGATCCTTTGGTCAAGGAACCTTTTGATATCACTGAAGAACAGGACCTTTTGTCAAGGTCAGTGTTGTTTTCTTCCAACCTTGGTCCCTCTACTTTTTGGTGGAGGCTTTGGAAACTTTGGAAGTTTTGGAGAATGTCTTGTTGGCCAACACACTGAGCTCCCTCTTTTCATCTTTCAACTGCCTGCGCTTGGCAGTAGCTTCTGCAATCAGTCCCTTAGCTTTTGTCAAGCTCATTGCCTTGTCCTTCTTCAATAGAATCTCTTTGAACTTCCCTTCAAACTCATGAGCCTCATGCACCAAGGCCTCAGCATCCTTTTTGCTAGCCTTGCTCAGCCTGCCAGTTTTGTTTGCCTTGGCAATTTCTTCTTCCAGGTTGGAAGCTGCTTGCACACACTGGTCCCTGGCCTTCCTTGTTTTTTTCAAGCATTCCTTCCATTCCTCTTCCTCTGTCTTTGGGTCTTCTTCTTTATCTGATCCTTCTTCCTCACCCACTGTGCCATCTTCAATTGCCAATTGTGCAGGCTTGCCTTTCTTCCCTTTACCTTTGCCTTTTGTCAAGGCACCCTTGCTGCCTTTGCCTTTTCCTTTGCCCTCCAGCTGCAGCATCTGAGTTTGCAAGTCCCTTGAGAAGTGCTTTTGCCAAGCTTCTTCATCTTCACCTTCAGCAGCATATTCCTGACCCCAAGCCCATGTGTCTTTGTGCTTCACTGTCGGCACTTTCTTAATATCTCCTTGGTCCAGGTATTGGAAGATCCCTGGTGTCCAAGGATCATTTCTCCATAGCACTCTCCCTGAATTAAGGTGTGCTTCAAATTCTTCTTGGGAAAATCTCTGTGACATTTGAAGCTCAGACTCCCAAGCTTCTCCTTTTGTCAAGGAGGTTCCCTGGGACATTTCTTGCTTTGCCTGCATGAACTTGGGGGCTTTGTCTTTCAGCAGGCACAAAGTGGCAAACAAACCCACTTCCTTCTTGGACATGTTGTCCACCTTCTTGGCTTCTTCTGGGTTGTTTTTCAAGTGGGTTTTCATTTTTCCCCATGCACTTTGCTGCTCTGCTTGTGTGAGTGTTTTTTTAAGCTCTGCAGCAGCTTCTTCTTGGGTGTCAGCATTTTCTGTCACCATTTGGATTCTTTCCTTCAGGCTGAGTTCACCCATCTTGCCTAGATTTTTTTATTCAGTGCATTCTTCTTGTCTTTGGTTGCCACTTTCTTGCTGCTCCCTTTTGGCAAGGGATGTTTTCCTTTTGGCAAGGTATGCTTCCCTTTTGGCAAGGTTTTTTTCTTTTTGTCAGTGCTTGAGCCTGGTTTCACCTGCTTTGCTTTCCCTTTGGCCAAGGGATTTTTGTTCTTCAGTATGCCTTTTGGCAAGGGCTTGCCCATGCCTACAATCCTAAAACTATTTCTAACCTAATGAAAACAGCTGCAGCTTGACAAAAGCATGCATGCTACTCATGGAAGGTGACAAGTGGGGACCCTTCAGGATTACTTTCCAATTTCTTTAACCAAACAAATCAAACCATGTAGTGGTAAACCAACCTAAAGGTAGTATTTGGAAGCAAATCATGTAGATCAACCTGGTGAAAACTTTTGAACCACATTGCAATCAAATTGATAAGGGTTGGAGTTGAACAAGTTCACTTGGTGAAAATTTCTGAATCCTTCTGAAATCAAAATGATTGGGATTGAAACTGGAAAATTGCAACCTGATGAAAACTGATGAAAACTGATGAAATCTGATGAAATTTTGGTTTTCATCAGGTTTCATCAGATTTCATATCAAAATGATTGGGATTGAAACTGGAAAATTGCAACCTGATGAAAACTGATGAAATCTGATGAAATCTTGGTGTTCATCAGATTTCATCAGATTTCATCAGGTTTCATCAGTTTTCATCAGGTTCCATTTTTTTATTTCTTTGGTAAATATTATCAATTCACATCAAAACTAAATATAAATTCTTCAGGAATCACCAGTGTTCATCCCCTATAATCTCAAATGTGGATGGTGCCATGTTCAATTCCAAACCTTTCAGGGTAGTAAATCCAAAGACTAATGCACTAATCCCAAACTTTGTTTGTAGATCTTTGCGTGCCTTTTGTCAAGGCCACAAACCACCAGAACCTCATGAATGACTGCAAATAATTACAATAAATCTATATATAAATGAATAATCTGTAAATATATATATATATATATTCATGTGAAAATATCTATGTGTATATATTTGCCAAACATAAGTGTGGAATCAAATGGAATGAACATGATACACTACAGATTTCAACCCAGATCCATGCCAGTACCAACCACCCCACTGTCCACCCAGGGCCACCACCATTTTTTGCTGAAGCCTCTGTGTTTTGAACCTTTTGCCAAGGTTCCCAGAGTTTCTTGAGAGCTGGAGCCTGCAAAGGACTACTATACCAAAAATATTATGGGCATGACTCATGACCTTGGCAAAAGGTTGGCCTAATGATTATTAATACTGATGTTTAAGGATTGGGTGATTGAAAATGAATATAATGATAATGATTTGGTATTTAATTTTTTGTACTTGGTCCAATGCAGGCTCCAGTATTTTAAAAACTAAAGACACTACCCTTTTTGAGCTGTGTCTAAACAAAATCTGTACAAGGTGAAACATTGAATTCTACTGGTGGTGATTGCCTTTTGTCAAGGTAACCCCACTCCTTTGCAGCTCTGCCTTTTGTCAAGGCCTGGGAGGGGGAAGTTGTTCAAAACATCCCCCATTTTTTCCATGGTTTGGTTCAGATCTTTTGTCAAGATGTGTATATCTTTTGTCAAGATATGTATATCTTTTGTCAAGATCTTCAGGTTTTTTGTCAAAGCCTTTGGTCTTTTGTCAAGACCTTTGATCTATTGTCAAGATCTTTCACTCATCCTCCCTGCTCAAGATCTCTTGGACAGCAGCTTTGAAGTTGGAGTAGCAGGAGATTGACTTCCTGCCATTCCTGTCAAATTTTGAGCCAGGGAGTGATATTGGAAATGATTCGATGCCATGGTCAAGACATTCCCAACAGATGTCCATGTTGTCATCGATCATTTTGCTGATGTCATAATTTTGACACCAGACTGCCTTCCCCTTTGGGCCACACCTTTTCCAAGTGAAGTTCACTGAGGTCCAGCCATCCCATTCATGCCAGGCCCAGTTCCACACTTCCTGGGACCTCTTGAAGCCACAGAAGCTGAGGAGGTGCACTTCATAGCCAGCTTTTTTCAAGCTTTCCAGGCATTCAGTATTCTCTTTGTTGTACTGGTCATTTACCACCAGCACACCATGCCAGTCCACAGCAATCCTTTTGTTTGGCTTCATTGTGAGCACAGTAGGCCCTTTTGACAAGGGCTCTTTGCTGCTGCTTTCACTGCTGCTGGAAGAGCTGCTGGTGGATCCACTGCTTCTGCCCCAGTCTGCTTGTGACTTGGCTGGGGATGGACTGGGCAGCAGCCTTTCTTTCTTTTTCCACTCAGCTGTACCTTTTGACAAGGTTTCCTGTTCCTGTTTTTTTCCTTTTTCCAAGGATTCATTTGTTTGCTTTGGCTTGCTTTTTGGCAAGGGCTTTCCATCCAGGCTCCTCTTCAGCATCTCCTTCTCAGAGGGCCCAAACTTTTTTCAGAATCCTTTTGGCAAGGATTTGAAGCTTGGCTTGTGCCAGCAGAAGGGTCTTTTGCAGGAACCTTTTGGCAAGGTTCTGCAGGGCTTTCTTTGCTTGAAACCGTTTGGCAAGGTTCTGCAGAGCTTCCTTTGCTTGAAACCTTTTGGCAAGGTTCTGCAGGGCTTCCTTTGCTTGAAACCTTTTGGCAAGGTTCTGCAGGGCTTCCTTTGCTTGAAACCTTTTGGCAAGGTTTTGCAGGGCTTCCTTTGCTGGAAACCTTTTGGCAAGGTTTTGCAAGGCCTTCTTTGCCCCCTTTTCTTTTGCTGCCCTTTTCCTTTTGGCAAGGAATGGGTATTTTTCTTTTTTTTCTGGAGGCTTCCAAGGCCTCAGCAATTCTGGCAGCTTCCTCTTGGGCCTCCTCTGCCTGCTTCTTCATGGAAGCTGCCTTGCTTGCTGCTGCCTTGGCCTGGGCCCCCAAGGCATCAGCATGCCCTGCTGCAGCCAGTCTATCCCTCTCCTGAGCTGCAGCTTGGACCCTTTGCCTCCTTGCCCAGGAGGTGGTTCCACTTCCACTGGGCCTGGCCTTGTTGTTGGTGCCTTGTGCCCAGCACCCCTCTTCATAGTCCCAATCAGGCCACTTCTCACTTTGGGACTCCTTGCACCACCCCCAAGACATTGTTTCCCTTTTTGCCAAAGGTTAGAGTTTTTGTTTGCAATATGCCTTTTTGTCAAAGGCTTTTTTTTCCACAAGTTTGGTTTGCAAAAAAGTTGAACCTTTGGCCAAGGTCTTGTAAAAACCTGGGCTTATAAGTCCAACCTTTTGGCGAAGATTGAAAAAAAAGCAAAAAGCAAAAAGCAAAAAGCTGATTGGTTTGAGCCACTTTGGCTACCATGCAGTGAAGTCTGTGACATGTGACATGCATGCCCCACCCTATGACATGTGACATGTGACATGCATGGTCAACCCTATGACATGTGATATGTGACATGCATGGTCAACCCTATGACATGTGACATGTGACATGCATGGTCAACCCTATGACATGTGACATGTGACATGTGACATGCATGGTCAACCCTATGACATGTGATATGTGACATGCATGGCCAACCCTATGACATGTGACATGTGACATGCATGCTCAGCCCTGTGACATGTGAACCAGTGAAACATTTAAAGACCAAACCAGCAAACATGTTCTACAACAAAAACAGACACAACACCTGGACACCTCACCAACTATAGCTGTCCCAAACAGAACCCTGGCCCTTCAGCCACAGCCCACCCCAGCAGCATTTGTTTTGCCACCCACCCCTCTTGTCAAGGGGCATGTCAATTTTGCAATAGGCTATCCTCCTGTTGGGATGCCTGTTTAAAAACCCAAAAAAGCAGAAACATAACCTTTTGTCAAGGGTATGCCTCCTGAAATGCAAGTAGCTTTTGTCAAGCTCCTTTTGGTCAGCACAGTGTCTCTCTGAGCTCTAGGCATTGTGCTTTTGTCAAGCCATTTGCCTCCACCTTCTTGTAGATGCTTTCTATCACATGTTGGTAGTGGATTGTCCTCTTCTTGGACACCTCCACAAGAAGCTTGAACTTGGTACCAGGTGCACCTTGAGCAGTAATATAAGCCCTCTCAGGCTTCTTGGCATATGTTACCTTCAGCTTGTGCCACTGCTTACCATTTGGCTTCACTTCTGTTTTTTTGGCAGGTGCACCTTTCCCTTTTGTCAAGGTTGTTTTCTTTTTACCTGCTGAGCTTGCAGCTGGTTTTTTGCCAGCTGGTTTTTTGCAAGCTGCTTTCCCCACAGCTTTTGTCAAACCCATTGCTTTTGCCAAGCCTGCATCATGATCTTCTGCTTTCCATTCTTTGTCAGAGCCCATTGCCATTTTGCCAACCCTTCTTCTCAAAAAAGTAGGAACAGGAGATTGGCCAGAGCTGCTGGCAGCTTCCTGGCCTTTTGCCAAGGTCTCAGCATCATTTGGCACAGCACCTTTTGTCAAGGTGTTCTTGGTGGGTGTTTGCAGTTCTTTGGGGTAACCCTGGCTGTCCAAAGACACTGCATCCATATCCACTTTCCTCTTCTTTGGCAATGGGCTCTCTTCTTCAGCACTCTTGTCTTTGATTGCCATGATGCCCACAGCTTTTTGCAGCTTCTTGTAGTCTGAAGACTTCAGCTTGGCTGCAGCTTTCCTCATCTCTTTGTCAATCTTGAGCCGTCTAAAGTGAGCAAAGATTGTGGTCAACCTTTCATTCCTCAGGTTGGACCAAACCTCACCATTGAAATCAGTTTGGTTCAAGCTTGGCTGATCCATCACCAATCTCATCAGAGTGGACCTCACTGGTCCAGAAGCAATTTCACAGGTGGGAGAGACTTTTGTCAAGTCTGTGATGAGGTCAAGGATGTCCACAAGGCCTTGGAAGTTAGTAGCCTGATTTTTTGAAACTGTCTCATAGGCACCTAGATCACTTATGGTGTCCTGATGGCTTTTCATGACCTTGAATAAAATGCCCAGGTCTACCACAGGTTTGCTGAAGTGCCTGGCACCACCCTTGCCACTCATCCTCCCCTTTTGTCAGGGGCCACTCAAGGGCCCCTTTTCTTGAGAAAAACCTTTTGCCAAGGTCTCTATAAGTTTGAAATGGAAAATGGCTGCAGATGGAAATGCATGTCAAAAATGCCAAAAAAAAACACCAAAAAAAATCAATATAAAAATCAATATTTTTAGAAAAAAATCAATATTTTATTGATTTTAAAATCAATAAGAGGTGTATTGAAAAAATCAATAAAAACCATCAAAATCAATATCAATAAAAAAACAGCTAAGTTTATTGATTAGGATCAATATCCGATGCTCAGGGTTGGCCTGGACCAGGATTGGCAGCTTCTCCAATACGGAACATGGAAGTCACAGCAAGCAAATACGGCCAGGGCAAGACAAAACGGCATCCAAGGGATGGCTTGCGGCAAAATGCCAGACCCAGTGAGACAAACATGAAAAGGCCCAGGATTCGCACAATGAGCCTACCCCAACAGAGTGAAACCAATAGGCTCAGCAAAAGAGCGACGAACCCCTGGCCCGTTTGTCATTCAAGGCCCTCTTCACGCGGCCTCTTAGCCAGAAGTCCTCTGATCTGCTGCATCTGCTGTTCGAAAAGGGATTGCATGGTTTGGTTCTGGTTTTCCAAATGTCCGTGCAATTGCTGAGCTTGTGCAGTCACTTGGCCCTGAAGGGCATTGATTTGTTGTGAATGATGCCCACTGAACTCCTGGAACTGATTCTCCAACCCATGCTGTTTGGACAAAAGCTGGTGAACCTGGTCCTCCAGCGCATGCACACGGTCAGGCAAATCATGCTCCATTGGGGGTTGGATCTTTGCAAGCACAGCGGACTGAATCCTTTCTTCGATTTGCAAAATGCCTTCATTTGGGCTTGTGGCAGGCACAGCTCCTTGGACCGGTTGATATTTGCGCCAAGGGTCCTGATGAGTCCAGGGATCGGGCTCAGATGAGGCAGCCCCCACGTCAGTACCACACAAGGCCAAGGTGGCCGCAGACCCTACCGGAGTCGGTTGGATGGTGGGTGCGTTCACATCTTGCTTCTGCCGGGTGACAACAATTTCCCCATTGGTTGTGGATATGATCGTGTGCTCAGGATCTTCAATCGCCTGAATCAGCCACATGGAACCCCTCCCAGGGCAGGGCACCGAAGGTTGGAGAGGCCGACACTCCCACCCAGCCTTATGGAGAATCTTCCCGACTGCCTGGCGATCAGCTCCATATGGGAAAGGACCTGCAAGGAAGTTCGTCTTTGGGCCATTTGGCAAGAAGACAGCATCAGGTCTCACAAGCTTGTGAATTGCCTTGGCTTGGCTAGTCTGGACACGAAGTCCCTTTCTTTCTCCCATTCTGGCTAGCCCAGCCACAGCCGGGTTTGTCTGCATAAGGTGCTGAAGTTCTTGCAACGTATGCTTGGCAGACCAAACAACAGTGTACTCAGTCAACAGGTCTTTTGCATCTGCGGAAAGTGGCTCACAGTAAACTCCGGATGTTCCACTGGCTGCAAGCATGGCATCAAGGATAGAAATGGGCACCCTAATGCAGACGGAAAAGATGTCCGCCTGGTTGGCGGGGCAAGGCTTAAAGCCCATTCGCAAAAATTGGCGACGCCAAACATCCAGGATAGGGTCCTGCAGCGGCAACTGTTCAGGATTGTGCCAGGCTTGGCAACGGCAATCTTCATTGAAACAGCGCTTGAGTTTGGGCAAAAGGGAAACAAGGCATCTGATGGGAGCCCCAATGAAGTCATTCCATTCAAGTTTCAATTCATCTTTGTAAACCATGACTTTGAGGGTGACCACTTCAGGTGTGTCGACTGAAACCAAAGTACTGCCAAGGGACTTCTCAACCAGTCCAGTACCAACTTGAACTAGCACCGCATCAACCAGAATCGGTTCATTATTGAGGGTGCATCTGCAAGGAATGGTAATCTGAACATGAGGCAATGACGTCTGGACGTCAACTCCCGGTTTGTGCAACACCAGCAGGGCTAAAGGCTCGCGTGAAACAACTGTTCCGGCTCGCAAATATGGCTCAGCATCATGCATGGAGATCAGGATGAAACCACTACTAACCGGGCCAATTTGCTGCATAGAAATTTGGGCCAAAGGGTGACCTTGTGACTGAAATGTGCCATCGAGCACTTGCAATTTGGCTGGAT